TAAATATGTATCCAGGATGTTGGCGATCTTTGAGCTATTTTTAGATTAAATGCTTCATATTGGTACAATGTGTGGTGATGTTAAATTTTCCTTGTAAAGAAAAGTTAGCTATGGATTACCACAAGATTCAGTGCTCGGCCAATTCTCTTGACTTCATTTCTTTTCCTGTTTAAATGATCAAGCAGCATGTGATATATTTATATGGTCATGGTAAATATCTATTCCCAAAGCCTAATCAGTTGTCTTGACTATAACCATGCCTAAAAGATCTGAAAGACCCTGAAGCACCCGTGATTTTCTGATCTTAAATCATTCTTGGAGTAACATTAGAAATATGAAATACTTTGTTTAGTCGATAATTTATCTTTAATTGCACTGACTTAGTTTTTAATTATAATATAAAGAACTTTGTAATCTTTGACTAGGACAGGCAAATAGATATTGTGAATGATCTATTAAATGCAATGCAGGGTCTTATTCTCTGCAGCATTTACTTTGTAAAAATAAATCTACTGATTACATTTTATGGCAGTTTCACAAAGTTATGTTTGAATAATTATGAAATACAGTAATAGTTTTTCAGTTGCTGCTAAGATGTAGCTTTTATTGTAGTTGTTCATTTTTGTTAAAACCTACTTTATTAAATGACCTCAAAAAGAAAAAAAAAACATATTTAAGCCAATGCTCGGAAAACAAAGGAAGGGTAAATATAAATTTGACAAAAAGGTCGGAAATGTTTTACAGTTAAGGTATATACTGCAACATTTGAACTTAAATAAATACTGTTAAGTAAATACTGTTTAGTTTTTCTTGCATAGGCTGCACAGGCATCATACAAATTTTCCTGATTTAAACATAATTTGAGTAGAAATGTTGTCTTATGAGGTACAGTCTACAGATTTAGTCTTACTTTCGCTCTCTTGTCTTGACTGACATTCAGCAATATCCACTCCTAATTTATGAGGGTTTAATAGGACTTTGGTCCATCCTTTGCAGCTGGAACAGATTCAACTCTTTGGGGGACGGTTGTCCAAAAGGTTTAAGATGTTTCCACCATTCTTGCAGTAGTGAATTTGTGAGATCACACACTGATGTTGGATAAGAAGGCCTGAATGTCAGTCTCTGCTCTAATTCATCCCAAAGGTGTTCTGTCAGGTTGAAGTAAGGACTTTGAGCGGACCAGTCAAGTTCATCCACACCAGACTCTGCAATCCATGTCTTTATAAACCTTGCTTTGTAGAGGGTGTGCAGTCATGTTAGAAATAGAAGGAGCCAGATACAAACTCTTTATAATGTCTTGGTTTGCTGAAGCAGTCAGAGTTCCTTTCACTGGAACTAAGGGGCCAAGCCCAGCTCTTGAAAAACCACCCCACACCTTAATCCCCCCTCTACCAAACTTTACACTTGGCACAATGCAGTCAGATAGGTATGGCAATACTGGCGAACGCAGACTCATCTATCTGATTTCCAGCTCTATGCCTCCCAGTTATATATAACAAATTCAAATACATTAGAATTAGCCTGAAAATCCAATAAGCCTACATATAATCTAATAATTTTACTCACCTTTCAAATATTCTTTATTCTTATTTATTTTTATAAAATAGATTGTTAATCAGAAAATCATTATGACTTTTATTGGCTAATTTAAAGTAACCAAGGCTATGTGCTGACAATGAATGAGTTAAAACTATTTAACAGGTCCATTAAACTAAGCTATTTACCATTGATCATACAACAGGCTTTCTGCAAGTCACACGAGGGACCTTGCACTCAGATATCAACATTCAATTCATTTATGACCATTGGCCAGACATTTACATCCAATTTGGCAGTTCATTCAAGATAATAATCTTAACATGTGTCTTAAATTGCTTAATTAAAATGCATTTTTTAAACCTTCGATTCTCTCCTCCGGGTTTCATCTATTGTGCCGAGCATTACCTTCCTGCCGAGATTTACCTCCCTTGTCGCGGGAGCCCACATCGCCCAAAACTCACGTCTATTGATGAGAAAACGGATTGAAATATGAATGAAAAGGGAAATTTTAAACATATTCCTAATTTTTTCATATTTCTTATACATGGATGCCTTAAAATGTATAGTTTTGGTGGACAGATAAATTTAAATTCATAGGATTTTACTTGTATGGAGGCACGTTTCAGTTGATGCGCTACAGTCCCAATTTTGCTATCAACACCATCCTTGATCATTTCTGAAACTTTATTTGTTAAACTTAGAACTTGGAACCTGCCGAAGATTCCCTCCCCTCCTTATTTTCACTTTCATTTTCCCAGACTTATGAAATTCATACCACAATCACAGAGAACCGGTATGATTATGTGGAGAAACTTGCATAATTGTAAACACGTTATTTCTCAAACTAAGCAGAGGAGGGAGATCTCGGCAAGTTAGAATCTGGAACCTGCGGAAGATTCCCTCCCTTCCTTATTTTCACATTCCCTCAAATCGTGTTGCCTTTCCGCTTGGCCGTGATGCTGTTCAGCACACCGTCAGCTTCTCTGCTGGTGATGGCAGGCTGTGCGCTACTCATAAGGGCAAGGGTTAGTTTGTGCCTTCAAGTCGTTGCCCATAGGAAGACATTACTTGGATATAACCTAGAAAGGTGAGGCACAATCCATTTCTTCTACTTTGTATGTATTTTCTCTTTTTTAATAATTTTTCTCTTTCTGTTAGCTTTGTTGGGCCAAAGTACACATAAACAAACCATAACTACATGTGAGGGAGGCTCTTTGCTCTCTCTCTCTGCATCTTAACTGCACTCTGAAGGGACACCTCAATTTTTTTTAATTAAATCCTTTACAAAGTTCAGTCTCTATTTAACCAGCCTTCAGACAGGTCATCAGTGCCAGATTACTTCGAGCCAGTGGTGGACCTGTCCTCAGACTTCTACTGGATTTCTGCCTGTCTGTTAACTGAACCTGGAACGGATTCGTGACACCGTTCTGGATTTCCCTCGGCATCGCTTTGTACCTCTGATCTCCTGGCTCTGAATCCTGAGCAAGTCACAGAAACCGGTTTTTGCATCGTCTTCTGGATCATCCTGCCTTCCTTCATCTGCTCAGTTCTGATCTCCTGCCTGTCCTCCGACCACCATCAATGTCTGGGACTCTCTGAGCGGCACCCACTGCGTCATGTTGGCAGCCGACCGGCTGGAAGCCTTACCCTCTGGACTTTGACTGATCTATAAGACCAGGTTAGTGACTCACACATTCGTTATCATCCATTTACAGAAAGATGTGGACACCAACCTGTTGTCTCCTCCTGCAGAGGTTCCTACCTTAGATGCTGACGCTGTTCACGTTTTCTCTTTCCAATAAAGGTTTTGAGAAATTTGTCTACCTCGAACACTGGATCCTATTATTCTCAGCTTAACATTCTGATTAATATCTCTAAAATATCTCTTCAAATGCAATGATGTTGATTTATTTTTAAAATGCTCCCAGCAAGTCGTGATAAATGTTTGGTTTTCCTCTCAGATGTTTAGTGCAGTTCAGTCGTCTATTTCAGAGAATCCTTGAAACTAAATGAGTTCTGCTTCCAGTGCAGGGCTGAACCTCTTTCTAAACAGTTTTTTTATCAGGTTTCCTGCTGTACAAAACTTTTCCAAAATGCCATTTCATTAAAGCTTTACACAATCAGCTGCAAAGTTTGCAGAGAGACTTTTAAAGTTTAAAGTAGAAGTTAATGAACTGCGCATTTTCTGAGAGGAAGTGTGTGTGATTCATATTCCTCAGACTGACTTGTTTGATATTTTCTACTCATGTAAATTCTTTCCAAACATCTTAGATCCCATGAACAATGTAACTACATCCACCAAAGAGCATCTGGTGTGCGATGGGAGTATAACCCTTTCCCCAGATGGTTTTTGCACAGTGTCCTGCATCCTGTGCATAGAATAAAAAGAAACGTGTCTCCATCCGAATTCTGTGCTGCAGAAATATAATAAGCATTGCTTTCATCTAGGTTTTGGTGAGCAGAGAGGAAATCTCTTGCATCTCTAATCTAGTTAGGTTCAGGTATGATTTGCTTGTAATCCATTTTCAGTCAATGAAATTGCTGAAAGAAGACCCCATATGAACTTCTGCTGTTGCTTTTTTCCTTTTGATATATATTTTGAAACCAGAAGGAAAGATATGTAACCAGCACACTACATATGTTCCAGAGCTCTGATCTAAAAAGTCTGTACATACAGATATTTGGAACTTGAAAGACAGCTTTCTCACTGTGCACGTATTGCAAGTGTTTTCTCTGTGAAAGATAATTTCAGCCTTTTACGGCAACAAGCACAAACCCCCTGCAGACATCAATACAGCTTCAATGGCTTCCATGCAACGGATGGTGCCTTTTGGAGCGAGTTGAAAAAAATCTGAAATTCCTGCAACGAAATCCTGTTCTATCCATAAAAGCTACCACAAGCTGACTGACATAAAACTAAAGAAAGATCAACATGAGGTGCCTAATTAGGTCATTTGTCAGATAAAATGCTGATTTAAAAAGCTCTACAGAGTATTTCTGGATTGTCAAAAAGAAAGTATGAGCACAGAGATGTAAAATATCATATACTGTATGCAGACACATATCCATCACTGCTATAAAGTTAAGGGAAACATTTTCCATGTTAATCTTGTGACAATAACCTTATAATATGATAAAGTAATGATACTGTATTCTAACCAGACACTCTGCCTGTACAGTTAAATATTTACTCACTTTAACGTATTTACCATATATCTTTTTATTAATTCAGCTAAATCGTTTGCATACTTTTTATTCAACTGTACAGTTATCAATACAAAACATTTATTTTCTTTACTTTATGAAATTTATTTTTAATCTAATCTATGCAGTTTATACCTGTAAACTTTCCTGTTTAGCTGGTTTCCCCACTACCACAATTGCTTCGCTGTTGGAAAATAAAGGTATTTCTATCCTATTTGAATTAACAAAACGACTCTGATGTTTACATTGATCCCAACCTTCAGCATTGCCAGCAGCCTCGTCCTCCTTCAGCCTCCTCACACAGTCAAGCTCATCTTTCTCCACCTCCAGCAAGAAGTTGCAACTTGGATTTCGTGCAACAACCTGTGTATAATAAAAGCAAGAATTCAGTTTATGAGCTTAATATGCCATGGTTTTAACTCAAATGCAGCTAAGGATTTATCCAGAGTATGTTCAGACCGATGTAAGGATATTTGTGCCAGGAGAGTAAACATATCCTTAATAAGACCAGAAATGAAAGTAATGTACTTACAGCATTTATTCCCCTTTTTATATGAAATATAATGCCTAAAAAACAACCCAAAAAAATGTTGCATAATTTAAGTTTCTGTTTTAATATGTAAAAAAACAAAAACAAACGTTTGTTAAAGGAAATTAACAAAAATAATTTGACTTGTTTCAAAAACGTTCGTGTTTTTTTTCCTCACATCAAGTATTGATAGTTAAAATAATCATATTCTTGATCAAATAAATTTGGGTGATCCAATTTCATCACAAAGTCAAAGAACCGGTTAATTTGATTATCTAAATTGCTCCAAGAGGTGAGTGTCTAGATTTCATTTAACTGGACTTTTCCTGTTTGTGAACCTTCCAGAACCCCTAGGGCTTGTGGATATGGTTTATTAGAAATCCCCTAAGTGTAAATTAAATTACTAAGCAAGGTTTTAAATTATCAACATAAACTTGCCTTTAGCATGAACTCACTGAAGACTTTGAGGTAGCAAAAATGTATGTTTTTTTTTTTTTTTAACAACTTTACATTTTTTTTCTTTTCTTTTATTATGTACCGTAGGTCCTAGTACTTTATGTTTTTATTTAGCTGCTAATGTGGCTTTAATCTGATATTAAGAGGACACCGCTGCATTGTCATTTAATTCAATTCCAATAATTTTTTTATTTAGTGTCAATTCACAACACATCACACTACATATGTCATCTCAAGGCTTTACAGAGACAATGAGAGCACTACAAAAGGAAAAACAGTTTAATGCCGTTTTCTGTACCTTTCTTAATTTTATTATCGTGCTTTACTTTTATTCAACCAATTTGATTTTGTTTTTAGTTCAGGTAAAAACCAGTCTTTTTATCACCCTAACAAAATTGTCTATTCCTTTCTTTAGCTATAGAACATTTTATTCCCCAACTATCTCTGCAGACTTTGATTTTTTTATTTCATACTTAAGTTGAACACAACAAAAAATATTTTTGAGAAAATATATTTCATTGAATTTGCTTTTAGATTTTTTTTTTATCTAAAAGAGAAAATGTTTTAACTAGTGTTTATTTGTCTTGAAAACAAAGCTCACTCTAAAATATGGCAAATAAACAAGATTTTAACTTCTTATTAATAAGATTTTTCAGCTGATCTTGGTCTTTATGCGAATTACATTGGTTCAGTTAACATTCAGAATAAAAAAAATAAAAAAGTTTAATTCCTGTAGAGAAAAAAAAAACTTATACATCTTCTCAGATTATTTTTTTTTTTTCTAAAGTTTACTTACCCTACTGGTAGCTTTTATTACTTTAAAGTTAGAAAACTGATCACATCTAAGATTCTATGATAGAAATGCACGCCGCAGTTTTTTCTGCAGTGAAAACATTTAATGTTTATAAGATTAATAAAAAAGGATGTACATTTTTATGTGTTATTGCTTTAAAAACTGCACCTACATCTCTATATTCCAGGTTCTATTCTTCAGATAATAGATAGTTTTTGCTCCTCAGCACATTTATTGCTATGATGAAAAATTAACACAAAGAAATACCCTGGATTGAAACATCTACTCTATTATATAATTTTAGATTGGGGTGATGTTCTTTTTTTTTTATTCCATTTTCTTAGGCATTTAAAACATCCATCCTTCTTTTTCGTCTTATTCCATCTGGGTCAGGCAGATTTTTTTATTTTAAATTAGATCCTAAAGCTAAATTATTGTTTTGATCAAACCTAATTCTAAACAAAAAGCTGAGGGCATCCAATAAAACCAAAAATATATCATAATTTATTAATGTGCTTTCAGAAATGTATGACATCGTGCTCTGATCTGCAGACTCAAGTAAAGGATGCAGATTTGTGCAACTAGTTTTCCTACATGTTGAAATCTTCCTAAGTCTCTGGCAATGATAGCAGAAACAACCTGTAAGGTTTAATCACTTTCAGATGGATTATTTCTTCTGAAAAAAGGATTTTATTTCTAAGCTCTAAAATCCCTGCAGTCTTTCCTTGAAGAGGAGGGCTAACGTCTCTTTTCATTAGTTGCATGAAATGATACGAATTTAATCTAGTGAGCAGATTTATTTACTGACTGAACTGTTCAGATTTGTGGATGTTGCATTTAATTTTATATGAAGACTTTAAACAACCCTTTGACCATTAAAAGGGTCACAAACTTAGATTGTATACTGTAATTATGGATTTTAAATACATTAAAAGAATCTTTATGAAGTTCTGCTTTCTATACTTTTGCTATAATTTAATTTCAGAGGGTCCTCTATATATAGGACTGTAGAAAGGCTGAAGGGGCAACCTGTTTAATCCACAGCAGGACTTTTGTTTCAGCAAACATTGATTTGTTGATTAAATAATATCAGAATCTAAAGGACACCCACCCGACTCAAGCTGTGCTGTTAAACAGCATTTTAAGAGAGGATCTATTGGTAGCTGTAGCTGCATATATCAAATGTTTTGCACTTCTTATGACCTTTATATTTAATGACCAGATAGTGAAAACTTTCTAAGCATCATATGCCTTCTACACCTTTACATTAATACTTCCAACATCCAGGGGAACTATTTACCCTTAGAATGCACCTAATTAGTACATAGATTAGTGGTGGTTTATCAATAGGGGGCACTAGGGTGCAAATGGAAAAGTAAAACAAAAAGAAAAGTGAAAACTGCAAATAAAATAATAATATTAAGTCCTTATTTACAAAATAACACATTTTAAAAGATTTGCCAGATCCCCCCCTGAGGATGAAAAATGCACACCCCCCTCCTGTGTGTTATAAATCTCAACCTCATCCTGCCAATAGTTGGATCAACCATTTATGAAACAGCTTTGCATGTCAAACCCATGGGTCAGTCAAATCCCCCCATAGAGACGGCAGCTCTTTATCCCCCTCGCATGAGCTGAGATTGGCCAGCATCCACACAGCTCTCCCACAGCATACACAAATGCACATGTGGCAGATGAGCTGCAATTTCATGCATCAGACCCCAATGACTATTTATGCAAGATGAAAGAACAGATTATGATTCAGTTTTTGAAGGAAAACCATCAACAGGCTTCAGCAGCCTTCAAACCAGACAAGAAGAGCTGAAAGCAGCGCAATGAAGAGATGACTACGATTTCAAAAAATCTTCAGACTAGATCACTAAAAGCTAGAATTTACTCTTCACATTAGAGTCAAACTGTTTTCACACACTGTGGACAGAAAGTTACATCTTTCAACCACCATAACCAAAGAAAATCAGTCTTTGTCTCAATTTATTCAAATTTGGCAGCTTTTCCATCAGGCTGACATCTGCTTAAAGAACCATCGTTTTATGTCCACCTGTCTGGATTGTTTCTCCAGGCTGCACAAGCAGATCGTCTCTGCAAGATCATGGCTTTTCACTTTTTTTTAGCTTAATCTGGCTGAAACTCAAACAGGGTCGGTTAGAGCAGCGGTCCCCAACCCCCGGGCTGCGGACCGGTACCGGTCCGTGGGTCATTTGGTACCGGGCCACACAGAAAAAAGTATATATATATATATATATAATTTATCGACAATCAGAGTCTGAGTGATGGTTTATTTTGAAAAAAATTGCGGTATTCTTTCCCAATTACATCAGTCTGTGCCTCTTGACACAGGTAAATTCAGTTCAAGACTCATCCTACAGTATCTATAACATCCTATCTTTGTGAAGCGGGATTTTCTGCGGTTACAGCGACCAAAACAAAGCTACGGAGCAGACTGGACATCAGGAGCACACTTGGTCTGTCATTTTCTCCGATTACGCCTAGATAGGACCGGCTTGTTGTTTTATTTTTATGATGTTTGTATTTGATTTTATCATTTTACTTGATCGTACTGTATAACCCTCCCCCCGGCCGGTCCGTGAATATATTGTCTGACATATAGCGGTCCGTGGTGCAAAAAAGGTTGGGGACCACTGAGTTAGAGGTTACAAACTTTCAAATATTGGTTTTGAACGTCTTTAAAAGTTAGTTCACCCTTCGTTCCTGTTCAGGGTTGCAGGAGGCTGGTGTCTGACTCCATATTAATAGATGAGAGGTGCTGTGCAGTTTGGTCAAGTCGCCGCTCAGAGTCACTTTCAAACACCCAAGCTCATACAGCATCAAACCTTAGAGCAACGTAGAAACACTAATTAACCTAAAAAAGGGGTTTGGACCCAGCAATGACCCACCATGAGGCAGCACTATGTTGCCATGGTAATACTTTTACCAAGCCTCCTGTTATTTGTCAACTAACCACCGCTGAACATGTCTCTTCCAAGCAATGTTAAGTGATGACTTTTTTCTATGCTTTTATTGAGAAAATAAAGACAAAAAAGTGTATATACATAAATATTTCTCCTAATGATGCACAAACTGGTTCCCAATGGTTTGCATAAAGTTCCTGTTTTTGTGAATGTGAGTGATTTCTAATGACAACATTTCTTGGCAATAAAGAGCTGCAAAAATGAAAGTCTTTATTTAAAAAATAAAAAGGAAAGCTCATCTAGAGTTTTATAATCAGATGAGTTTCTGCATCCACCTCGTAGCAGCATGCCACAACAACAAACAGAGAACACTCAGCATACAGGAACAACAGAGAGGAGAAAAACTGATAAAGATGGCTGAAAGAAAACCTTAAATAACTAATTAAAATTTTTTTTAAACAAGTACATTTTTTAAGCAGCAATTTTAAAATGTTAATTTTTTGTTTTTCATATTAGAATATACGTATATTAGAATAGAAGTAAAGTCCTGCGCCACTTGGGAGAATTCGGAAATGCAACGATTGGAACAACCGATTCCCTACAACTTTAAGAACACATTTTTGATTCTCTTTGCTCTCCTTCACCTGAATTCTAC